CCACCACCTTTGGCATGAAGGAAACGGGCCCTTGACGGAAACAAGTCCTGGCCCCACGCGTTTTCCTCAGGGCCAACTTTTCATCCAGGGGCTCGTGGCGGGCCCCGGCAGCCTGGAAACTGCCGAAAACTTGTCGGACATGGTTCCCTCAGGATCCCTTTCCTTCATGGTGACGCCTGTGCGAATGGTGATACGTTCTGGGAGATATCCTCAAGGCGCGCGTAGCTGCTGCCACAAGGCTTGAAAGAAGACGTGAACTGCGCCATGACGGTTCCCAACTTCCCCTTCTCCCGCAGCGGCCTTAGAACATCCTGGAAGCAACTCCAAACCGCCCTCCGAGCCTCCGCTTTCAGACTCGCAAGGTTGATTGTCCGGGCGAACGCCAAGGGGGTCATATAGCAAAAGGGTGGTTAGCGAATCGGCTCACGTAGCTGGTTCTGGCACCTGCCGGCGCCAGCGGCGCGTATCAAGGGAAGTTCCCACAGGCGGAGCCGAAACCTGTTTGTGTTGCCAGTTCCCGCTGACTTTGTGATGTTTGTTTAGGAAGGCGATCCACCCATTGGTGGAGCAGTTCGCGGGCTCCCTCGACACGGGTCCCGCACCCCTTCATTCGGAAGCATCTAGGCGTGCCAGAGCGGCGAGGCCGCAATCTGATACATGCAGAAGTTGTCAGAACCCCCCCTTTCCCAATCACCCCCTCGCGTCCAACCCGACTTGTGTCGGCTCGCGACTTCAGGAGCACCTGCACAGAGGCCGGCAGCGCCTGGCGGTCGCACCTCCCAAAGGTGAACAGGCCGAAGAGCTTGACGTGGACGAGAAAGCCTTCGGGCACGGATTGGGCCCATTGTTCTGTGAGCTGGGGGCTAGGAATGCGATAGTTCACGCTGGTCATCTCGATCGTGCTGAAGTGTTTCGCGTAGAAAGGAAGCAACTCTCCACCAGGCTTGCCCCGCAATGCTCGCAGCTCGCGTGGATAGAATGCTGTCTCGCTCTCCAGGGATATGAAACCAAGCCGCACGTTCGGCATACCTGCTGACAAAGCAGACGATCTAGGCGGAACAACATGTTGACTCGAACAACACATGGCCACGGATGAGCCGCACAAGCAGCATGAAGTGCAGAAGAGAGGCGGAGACCTACAGTACAGAAGGACTGCAGCAAATGAGTCGAGGAAAGAGCTGGCCAAGGGCGCGAATAAATGTGCAAACCCCATCGCCACTCTAAATCCGTCAACCAAGACGTCCCAGAGAATCGTAGCACTGGCGTATCGCGATAACGCGACCAGAATTCAAAAAAAACAACTGGCTACGCTGTCCTCGGGCCAGCGCCGCAAAACACGGCGCGAATCGTCGACATGAGCTTATGCATTGGCCCAATCAGGCACGCGGCAAGGGAGACACCCTTTGGACTCACATCCTCACATCCACGAAATTTGATATCTGGGATGGGGGGAGGGGGGGCAGGGGGAGGCGGGGGGGACTAGGAGGGGTCATCCATCTGTCATGGATGCAGACATACAGGCGCAAAGGTGACTCTGAGCAAATCCTCGCAGTGGACAGGATGTCGACATCAACGTGGCCCGCCAGCTCATCTTCGGGTTTTTGCCAGCGCGCGCGGATCAGAAATCGCATGAGCAAGCACAGCATTGAACACACTTGCCGAGCAAGGAACAGACTCGAACGACAACAGGCTCACGCGGCCGTCAAGGAGCAACCCTGCCCGTCACCCGCGAAACGGCAGCGAAGGCAGACTTCCCCGAGCGTGTTCGCGATACCACACGGACCACACCACAAGCTCAACTCCAACCCGGGCCGCTCTGCCCCCCTGCCCGACGTGGGAGGCTCGGCCTCGGGCTCGCGCCTCGTCTCGACACCAGGGATGCTGGCGTTGGCGGCGCGCGTCAAGGCGCGAGAGGGGCTGCTGCACATTCTGCTGACCAAGGTGGCCTGTGCCGTTCTGCCGTCGGGTCCCCGAGGGCAACTCCCCCCTTGCCTGCCCCTCCCCCCCTCCCCCTCCCCGGGGCACAAGACGGCTTGAGCCGTTCGAGCCGCTACCCCCGCCCAGACCTCTCGACCACTTCCCCCCGGGACTGGCGCTTCTCTCTCGGGCCAACAGGGATCTGGGCCTCCGCTCCCCCCTCAAACTCTTCCCTGTTCCCTCCCTCCCAGACCCCCACCCTCCGTCAGGATCGGGAGGAGATCGAGGAAGACGACGAGGACGAAGAGGCGACGTCGTCGAAGGAGGAAAGGCACGGTGACAGCACGCTGCTGCATGGCGAGGGGCAGCAGCGGTAGGCAGAGGGAAGAGGAGGAAGGAGGGAGGATACAGAAGACGAACCCCTCCTCATCGTCTTCCTCCTTATATCCGTCTTCCTCTCCTTCCTGCTCCAACTCCTCTTCCTCCTCCCCGTCCTCTTGGGCGAGGAGTAGGAGCAGGAGGAGGAGCTGGACGACGACGGCGAGACACGGCGGCGGAGGAGGGCCCTACTACCCCTTGGTGGTCCTGCCACGCACGCGGAGCAGCGGGAGGGTCACGACAGCATTCAGAACGACCATGAGCATGACAAATCCCTGTCAGCGTGGACCCAAAACCGTAGAACAGTTCACTGTGGATGTGTAAAATCGCGCCGGGAAGTGTTTTTCGCTATTTTCGGCCTACGGGGGCCCTTATCGGGCCCCGGGACCGTCAAAAAACGACTCAGGATGAAAAGCCAGTCCCAGGGAATGGGTCCAGACCTCTGGGGGTCGACGCTTTGGAAAAATGACAAACCGTAGAACAGTTCACTGTGGATGTGTAAGATGCGTGGTGTCATCTGTGAGGTGCGCCGCAAGCTACGCGGTGCAGGCTATGTGGTGCAAGCTATGTGGCGTGAGCTATGGTCACAAAAGACTTGAAGACGACCATGAGCATGACACACCTTTGCCAGCGTGGACCCCCAAACCGTAGCACAGTTCACCGTGGACGTGTAAGATACGTGGTGTCCTCTGTGAGGTGTGCTGCAAAACAGATTGGACACGACCATGAGCATGACACATCTTTGCCAGCGTGGACCCAAAACCGTAGAACAGTTCACTGTGAATGTGTAAGATGCGTGGCTAGGAGGCCACATGCGAACCCTACCCCTGCCCCCTACGACTTCTGAGGGGGAGGGCGGGGTTCACTCCGTTCGGGAGCTCCCGAGCGAAGTGAACCCCACCCTCCCCCTCAGAAGTCGTGGAGGGTAGGGGGCAGGGCTCGCACGTGGCCCCCTAGTGGTGTCGTCTACGAAGTGCGCTGCAGGCCAGGCGGTGCAAAGTCATAGCGCGCGGCGGGTCGGGGACCTGCTGACCCGGGTCAATCCAGACCCGGGTCAGTCAGGCCTTGCAGAGCCCTGCAGGATCCTGCAACATCCTGCACCCAAGCCCGGGTCAGTGCGAAGGATCCTGCAAAAGATCCTGCAGGATCCTGCACCCCAACCCGGGCTGATGCGACCCCGGCCCTGCAGGATCCTGCATGGTCGGGGCGCTCTGGCTGACCCCCGTTTGCACTGACCCCCGTCCTCGCCCTCGCCCTCGCCCTCGCCCCGTCGGCGCCGCCTATCCCTCGCCCTCGCGCCCGCGGAGGAGGAGGAGGAGGAGGAGGAGGAGGAGGAGGAGGAGGCTCCCGAGCGGGGCGCGCGGCGGGGCGCCCGGCGTGCAGTGCTGGGCTACAGCGCGCGGCGGGGCGCCCGCGGCGGCGGCCACGGGCCGGGGCACCCGCGCGGCGCCCACCCCGGGAGAGCCGAGGGCGCCCCCGGGGGGGCGCCCGCGGGGGGCCGCCGCGGGGCCGCGCGGCGCGGCGAGGCCCCGCGGGCGCCCGACGGGGCGCCCGCGGGGCGGCCACGCAGGTCGGGCGGCAGGAGGAGGGAGGAGGAGGAGGAGGAGGAGGGAGGAGGAGGAGGAGGAGCGGAGGAGGCGGAGGAGGAGGAGGAGGAGGAGGAGGAGGAGGAGAGGAGGCGGAGGCGGAGGAGGCGGAGGAGGAGGAGGAGGAGGAGGAGGAGGAGGCGGAGGAGGAGGAGGAGGAGGAGGAGGAGGAGGAGGAGGAGGAGGAGGAGGAGGAGGAGGAGGAGGAGGAGGAGGAGGACGGGGGGGAGGAGGCCGACAGACGCAGCAAGTTCCCCGACTGGCGGAGTTTAGAAGAGACGTCCCAAACAGTCCACAAAAAGGCCCCCCGAAGGGCCAAACATCATGGGAAAGGCGTCCCCAGACGATTTCTGTTTCATGCTGTGCTTGGAGATTCCTCCTGGAGAGGGACATGCCCCACTGAAACGCAGCGAAGGCTCGGCACACCCATCCAATGATGCACGTCCAAAAAAAAAGCGAAGGAAAGGACCTGTAAGTGCAAGTACTGCCTGGGTGATTGCCAGGATTCATCCACTGGGCGAGATTGGGGGGGGAGGAGAGGGGAGGGAGAAGGAGGAAGGAGGGAGGAGGAACGAGGAGTGAGGAGGAGACGGGATGAGGAGTGAGAGGTAAGGAGGAGGCAGGGGAAGGGAGGAGGGATGAGGGACGTGGGAATCAGGAAGGAACGATCTGATACATCCTATCGGGTCGGCCAATGCCCAGTTGATTGTTTCACCCATTCCCAGTCTTACCAGTAGCTGGTTCACCGCAGCTCCCCCCTCTCATCCTTGTCATCCTCCAAATCCTCCCCCTCCTTCTCCCCCCTGCTCTCCCTACTTTTCCTGCTCCTCCACCTCTACCCGATCCTTGTCCGACACCTTTGCCCTGGAGAGAAAGGAGAGGAGGGGGCATGCGTCTCGACGCCGAAGCAACCATGACGACGATGGCACCGACAACGACGCCGACAACGATGACGCTGACGACGCCAACGACGCCTCCGACGCTGACGCCAACGACAGTGCTGACGACAACGCAGACGGTGCCGCCAAGACGCCGACGCCGGCGAACGCCGACGTCGACAACGGCGACGACGCCGACGCCGACGGCGACGACGTCGACGACCCCCCGGCCCCCTCGCACCGCTGGCGCGGGGGGCGCGCTGGGCGGCTGCACGGGCGCCGGCGTGAGGCCGGGGTGTCGCTGCTGCGGGCGCGCGGGCGGACTCTCCGTCGTCCGTCGCCACCATCGTCTGTCGTCCGTCGTCGTCCGTTGCCGTCCACCGTCCGTCGTCCTTGTCCGATGTCGTCCATCGTCGTCGACATCGTCGTCATCCTCGTCGTCGTCGTCGTCGACGTCCTCGTCGTCGTCGGCGTCGTCGTCCGCGTCGTCGTTCTCGTCCTGCTCCTCCTCCTCCTCCTTCTCCTCCTCCTCCTCCTCCTCCTCCTCCTTCTCCTCCTCCTCCTCCTCCTCCTACTCCTCGTAATCCTTCTTCTCCTGCCTTCTCCCTCCCACCAACGCCCCCCTTCCCCCCTTCTCCTACTGATGACCCTTCTCCCCCCCACTCCTGTTCCCTCTCTCCCTCCTGCACCCTCCCCCTCCCCCCGCCTCTCCTCCCGCTTTCTTTCCCCGTCCCCCCTTCCTCCTCCTTCTCCTCCTCGCCTCCTGTCCCTGAAGGGCTGGGTAGGCGGATTATTGGGCTCGGAGAAGGACGAGGTGAGAAGGAGGCAGGAGAGGGGCTCACCGGGGGAAAGAATATGGCACGACGTCGAGGCCAGCCTGTGCCGTGAAGAGGGCGAGAAGAGGAGGAGGAGGAGGAGGAGGAGAGGAGGAGGAGGAGGAGGAGGAGGAGGAGGAGGACGAGGAGGAGGAGGAGGAGGAGGAGGAGGAGGAGGTCCACCGTTCCTGGGGGGGCGCGCCGATCCTTGTCAGCTAGCTTGGCGCCTGACTTTTCCCTCGCGCGCATCTCGCCGGAGGCGCGCGGGGAGGGCGACGCAGGCGCCAAGCTAGCTGACAAGGATCGGCGCGCCCCCCCAGGAACGGTGGACCTCCTCCTCCTCCTCCTCCTCCTCCTCCTCCTCCTCCTCCTCCTCCTCCTCCTCCTCCTCCTCCTCCTCACTGTGTCCTCTTTGCCAGTGCAGCCACACCCGCACGGTGTGCATGCCGCTGCATTCTCCGGTCTCTGCTCCAGCTCCCAGTCCAACTTCGGATTGCAGGACAGGCCCACGACGTAGGGACTCTAAACAGGAGCGATCGGATGCCTTCCCACCTCCCGACGAGGGCCTCCACCCCGAAATGCTCGAAGAGGCACCTGTCCAGAAGCGTGGGCACATCCTCGGGTACGAGCTCGTGCCTGATGGCGTTCAGCAGCAGAGTCTGCATCGACTGCGGGCGCTTGCGCCGTAGGCTATCCGCCGCACTTCCAGCACGAGCTGCGAGAGTTGTGGTCCGAGACGCCTTCCAAGCGCGAATGGCCCGTGATCCGGCTAGTCTGACATGTCGGCGTCGAAGGGAGCCCTCGGAAGCTCCCAGCAGCGCAGCCGTGATCGCAGGGGAACTCCACCACGACGGCGCCAATGATGAGGAATCCCAGCATGAGCCAGAGCACCATCGTGTCACCGCGCTCTTGAGCAAGGCGTGGCACCTCCTCCACGTGGATGCTGCCTTGAGTGCGGTCCGCATCAACGTCGCCATGTTTAGTGCGAGCTACCCTCGAAGGCGAGGCCCTCCCCAGCGATGAAGCGGAAGCCAGGCCCCGCGGCGGAACGCGGTGCTCGGCACGCGGAGGAGATGCGCACGCGGCACGCCGCGCTCATGATGTCCCGCCGAAGATGGAGAAAGTGCAGCTTGCAGCGCAGGACGGGGAGAGCGCGCTCCTGGCATGGGCGCGCCCTGCTCCGGCTGCTGTCGGGCGTGGCCGCGCAATCGTGGCTGCCCTCTGCTCCAGCTTCCCGACTGGCTCCTGCCAGCTCGCCGCCCCGTCCACCCCCGGGCCCAGGAGCACGCCGAGGTGGGCGAGGGGGCGGTGTGAAATGCGCTCCACGACGGGCTCAGCCTCCCCTCGCGTCCAGGTGCCCGTGGGCCACCGAGTGGCTCCAGGGCGAGGGCCGAGAACCCCTTGGCCACCCGGGAGACGCGCTCGAGCCCTGGGAAGCAGCGCCTCGACAGCTCGACGCAGCCGAGGTCATCGGCGCAGACCCGGGTCCATCTCATTCGGGGATCTTCTGACCCGGGTCAATCCAGACCCGGGTCAGCAGGAAACCAAAAACTGCAATGCAGGAAAAAAAAGCTGCAACACAAATCTTCGCAAACCCGGGTCAGCCAATATGCGCGGCCGCCTCGCGGCCACCAGCGGCTCGCTAACCCGGGTCAGCCAGAGGGGGTCTTCGCAGAATGCTGCAGGATCTGGCGCCCTGGCTGACCCCCGTTTGCATTGACCCCCGTCTCAAGGCTCCCGACCCATCTTTGCCTTCTCAATGCCGGCCTCGGGGTCCTCGGCGAAGCAGCTGCAGGCGCAGAGAAGCACTGTTCCCGATGGCGGGCACCCCTGGAGCACCCCCCACGCCATCTACGCGTATGCACGCTCCCGGCCCGAACCGACATACACGTCATTGCCCGCATAGATTTATGACACGGCTCGCTAGAGCCCCTCCAGTAGTCTGAACTCGTCAATGCACGGGCGGAGCCACTCCCGGCGCACGCTCGGGGAAACCTGTGCGAAATCGAAGGCGACCAGCGCGGACGCCGCCCAGACCGTGTCGGACTCCTCCGCCATGGAGCCCGCTATGCGCGCGGAGGCGTCGAGGTGCACGATGTCGCCCAGCACCTGCTGCCTGCGGATGAATCCGCACTGTGACCCAAAACGAATCTTAAGAATCGCTCGACCGATCGACAAGTTGAGGGCCCCGGCGACGATCGTACTGCATGTGCACATGTTCTTCAAGCTAAGGGAGCGCGACACTGAGGCTCGAAAGATTTGGTCACCCAAGGGGCCCGCGTCATCCTCGGCGGCCTCGGGGCGGAAGGCCGCGAGGTAATCGCTGAACGAGCGCGAGAGAAGCCCCTCCCTGCCGTCGGCCACTCAACGGCACGATGGAGCACCACAGGGCCCGCGCCTGGAAGCCACGCCACAAACAGCATGAAAGCGAGGCACACGTCGTGCAGCGCAACAAACCCTCGACCTGACCCCATTGAACTGGAGTGCCCGTCCGGAGCAGACTTCAATCCCAAGGACTTCCAAGGCATTGGTGTATACGCATCTCAGAGAGCCCAGCTTGGCACGCAAGCGCAATCCCAGAGAAGGCATGCTGCAAGTGAGTTGCATACTGCTGCGAGCCGGTGGGGGCCTCAGTGAGTCCAAGACGCAAGCCAACAATCACAGGGCCCCGAGGGCCCGCGTTTATACCCCCACAACCATCCCTAAGATGGAGAGGGTGGCATCATCCGCATACAGGTCAACAGTGCGCGATGTGCTGGAGGCGCGCGTTTACATGAAGCATCGCACGGAGAGAGCACGACGCACGACAGAGCGAACAGAGGGAAAGGCGCATCCAGGCGACGACCCTCTGCGTCCAGACCTGACTTGAGAAACAGCTGTCCCGCGCTTGCATCCGCCCAGCCCCCTCCCCCCCCCCACACGCGCATGCACGGCGCCAAAGGGGCCAGGCTCCCTGGGAAGCCATGCTGCACAGCATCACGAAATAGTTTCCGCCATGGAACCTTATCCAAGCACTTTGCAATGCCGCCCATGGCGCGAGGGGGGCATGATCATCAGGGCCTTGTCGGCCTCGACTCTCAGCTTGGACTAAGACCCTGGCCACGACGTCAGCGGTAGACCGATTAGCCCCCCAGGCAAAATAGTTCCGATTTAGTTATGGATGCCCACGCTCGGACCCAGGACACCCGAGCTTTCGCCCAATCCCAATGCAACGAAGCAAAGAGTGCGACGGCCACCCGCCATTTTGCTTCAGACGACGATGCGAATGTGGGTCAACATAGCTGGCCAAGCTCCAAAGACCTCGCAGAGGCGCACGAAGTGCCCCATGACCGCCAGGGAAGCGTTGGACACGAGGGCCCAGTGGCGAGGACTAGATTGATCGGATCCAATGGCGGCCCCCTGCGGGAACTGCATCGCCGCCGATCGAAGCTCAGATATGACAAGCAGAGGTAGCCTGAGGCCCGTCTCGCAGTGGCGCCGCATTTCGGAAACCAGATCCCCGTCGCCCTGAGCGCCGCGCACGCTGGCGCGCGCCCCCGGAGGTTCCAAGTCGGCCCCACTCCGCACTTCGGCCCAGGGCCCACGCTGAACTCCAACAGCGTCTCAAGGAAAACTGGCAGGCCCCAGGGTGGAGTCCACTTGTGATGGGCGCAAGCTGCGCGGCTTAATCCACTGACGCATTGCCCCTGGCCGATCGCGCAGATGCTGCCTAAGCCATGCTACAGGAGACCTGGATATGGCTCGCCCCGGTCGACGCTCGCCCTCCCCTGCCAATCGACCGAGGCGGCCCCCTGCGAACCTCGTCGGGCGCCTGCGACGCAGCGGGGGCTGCGCACATCTACGCACCAGAACGAAGGCAACGGCGTTGCACGCGACAGGCGGGACATGCGCGCGCATTCGACCAGCGCGACCATGACCACCCATGAAATCACACAGGCGTCGCCACACACGCAAAATTGCATTCATGCCATGCGCAATAGCAATGCGCGCGCAAGGCATTCGCAACTGCAACGCACGGAGGGCCCGAGGGCATTGAGCCCTAGAGGGCTGGTATCCCGCAAGGGCCCCACCCGGATTAGACTGGCAACATTTGGTGCCCCCAGATCGGCCCGCGCACAAATGGCGCGCACCATTTTAGATCTTGAACAGAAGAACAAAGCTCAGCCTCAGCATCTGAGTTTGGCGGCGGACACAGGTGGCCAAGCCTGGCACGGCGCTCTCCATAGTTCACATGTCTAAGGGCGACATCATCCTGCGCCAGCTGACCGTTGCTGATCGAAGGACATCTCCGCATCATCATCGTCGTCGTCCACGTCCTGCCCCTTGGCAAATGGCGCGCAGAAACACGGCTGAGGGTCTCGGAGCACAGTGGCACTGCGCGACGCACCGCGGAAACCATGGCGACTTGCACCGCGCGATGATTGCGCGGCGGGAATTCGTCCATGAACTTTCGGGCGCCCATGGCATCCGCCAAAGAGTCGCTCCCCATCCAGTTGTCTAGATTGCCAGGCGATTCAGCCCTGGGGCCACGATGCGCCCCCGCGAGGCGGGGATCAGGCGCGCGCCCAATCTATCTGGGAGACCTCGGGGCCCCAAGACTGTCGAGCCCACGCCGCAGTCACCCCCCGCCGTGGAAGGCAAGCTGCAGCACGTTAGACAGCCCCCCCAAGCGGGGCGGCCTCGCAGCATTACACCCACCCAACAGATCACCCTGCCCAAGATACGCCGAGGACGCCAAGAAACCACGCCGAAGCCCCGCGCGTTCGCGCACAGCTACACAATGACGTGGCACGAGCGCGCGCGAGGCGAGGAAGCCCGGGGCGCTCGTTGCACCGATGCGACCACGAACAGAGATGCCAACCCCTGCCTTGCAAGTGGAGGCCTCTCCAGGAAGAGATTCCGACAGAAAGGGCTTCCACCCGCGTCTCCCAGCGCGCTCCTGCGCCCGCGAGAAACCATCGCCGCGCAGCTTGCGCTGCGGAGCGAAGACAATCGATACATTCGATGTTGACTCCAGCAAATCTTCGAGCCGAGGCAACCCACTCCTATTGAAAGAAGCACGCGTAAGGAAGCGCTGCTTGACGGCGCGCCCCCAGGTCCGATCAGTGCTAACGCCCGGCGACGATGCAATGATCTGCGCTGCGCTGCGGGCGTAGGCGGGAGCGCAATGTACTGGAGTTGACTCAACATCCACCGTTAATCCAATGGCCATCGCCGACGCAGCGCCAACTGCAGAGTTCACCCCGCCCCCAACAGCACCATCAATAAGCTGACCCCCAAGACTGTCGCGCCCAGCGGCACCGGCCGCGCAGGAGGCGCCGAAATCAGACACCCGATCGCGCGGAGAAGACCTGACGAGGGCGCCGGAGCGACCCGAAGAGACAAACGCAGAGGGGCGCACCACCCGCGCAGCCTCCGATGGGCCTGGAGAGATGGAAATGCACGGGACCCTGGGGGCATGGGCCGCGGGACCGGCCGAGAAGGCGCCCGACGCCGACGCGGGCCCGCGGCCCCCTGGCCCAACCCTGCGCGGCACATACGACGCGCGCCAATTCCCGAGACAAGTTGCCGTAGGAGCAGGTGGGGGCCCGAGACAGGATGCTTCGAATGACAGCGCGCGCCGATGTCGACGCGCGCAAGGTGCCGGCCCCGACCGCGTCGCCATCGGCCCGAGATCAAGCCGGAATTGCACCGCCGTGCTCCGCGCCAGCTGCGGGCAGCTCCGAGCTGCAGGAAGTCGTTGTCGGCGAGAGTCATGCTGCGAACCGAATGGGGAACCAGCACCAGCCTCGCCTCCTCTGGAATCTGCTGCGACCCCCTCGAGGTCAGCTGCAGCTCGCGCGCCCCCTGGGCGTTCCAGTGCGCCGGGGGCAGGAGCGCCGCGCGCGCGGCGCGCCAGTCGTTGCCAGCGGCCGCGGCGCCACGGCGCTCGCGGCAGTTCGAGTGCGCGGCGGAGCTCCACGGGCAGCGCGCCCGTGGCCTCCGAGGCGGCGGCGGCGCCGCCTGCCGCGGCGGCTTCGGGGGCCGCTGCGGCGACTCCTCGGAGCTCGCCGGAGGCATCGACGAGGTTGCCCGCGCCCGCGGCGGCAGCACCAACAGGCGTGACAGCGGCGCGAGCAGTGGCCACCTCGTCGCGGATGGCGTCGAGCTCTCCCTCGGCGGCTGCCATCTCGGCCTTCTGCGAGGCAGGCTCCGCCTGCATGGCGCCCGCCGTGCTCCACGGCAGGTGGCGCTCCTTCTGCTTCGTGGCCTGCCTGTCGAGGGCTCGTCGGAGCATGTCGCCGGGGATCCTGGCAGGCCTCTCTCTGTCTTCTGCCGAGGCCAGCTGCCTCTTGGCGCCGATGATAAGCTCGTAGTCTTGGCCAAGCTGGGGACGCCGAAGGGCAGCGAAGGCCTTCCGAGCGCGACCCGCGCAGTCGCTCTCGTCTTCGCGCGCAACCTCACCACCTCCAGACTGAGATCGCCCGGGTTCCGAATAGGACCTTGGGCGTCGCAGCGGCCCTTGAGGAGCGGCTCCAGCCAGGGCCAGCAGCTGGGCACGTCTGAAGCATGCCAAGAGACACGCACCAGTGCCAGAGGAAAGCATGTTCGACAAGATCCGAGACCCCGACAATGCCAGCAGCGGGGCAGGTTTAAAATGCATCGAAGACACCAACGTATTCGAGATGGGAAACCTGTTATAAATGAATCAGAGACCCCACAAATGCCAGCAGTTGAGCGCGCTGGAAGTACATCAAGAGACAACCACCAATGCCGGGCGGAGAACAGGTTTGACACAAGTCAGAGACCCCACGAATTCCATAAGCAGAACATGCTCGGACTGTATGTACTAACCACGCCCACCAACGCCAGCGGGAGAACACGTTATAAACAAATCAGTGGCCCCACCAATGCCAGAAACTGAGCATGTTTGAAATATAGCATGAAAAACCAACTAGCGACATACGTAGACCAAGACTGAAATACATCAGAGACCCCACCACGTGCATTACTCATAGAACGCACCTCAGTATAGCGCATCTTGACCTGAACCTCTGTCTCCGTCACCCCGAAAATACGTCCATCACGGCCTATGAACACGCCCTCAGCGACCACAGAGAGCCTGTTAAGGTACAGACCCAAAGGGCCATTCATACTGCTCGCAATGACTTCCTATGCTCGAACAATCGCAAGGCCATAAGTCCACCGAACCACCCAAAATAATCTGAACCTCACGACGAACAGGGCGATCCACACCACGCCGGTCTTCACAAACATGCCCCCTTTCCACAAGGAAGCTGACAAACAGCAAGCGCACACGAAGAAGAGCCACAACATGACATCCGTGGGAAATGGCTGCCTCCAGCTCTGCCAGAGCACGTCGCAAATCCTCAAAACCACTCAACGCAGGCACGCTTGCTAGCACACCCGCAAAACTTAGACCATCGGGCTCAACATGAAGATCACAAACGTGCGAAGCAGCGCCAGCATCTAGAAAGCCGGGCGCCTGCAGCAACGTGTCGGTAGCACTTTCAGCCGTGTAAGTAAAACCACTGAGTTTCAGGGTATACCACATCTCCACACTCACACACACCACTCCATCAACAATACCACTCTGTGCTTCCTCCAGAAGCCAAGCGCCGCGAATAGCGCAGCCATCAGTGAAAGGAACGGCAGACGACGAGCAGGACACCACGGGTGCGTCGACTTTGCGCGGGAACTGGGAAAACTGCGGGAGAGGTGCGCAGTGTCGTGGACGATTCGGCTGGTACGAGAAACTCCATGGATCGCCACCCTCCCTGTGCCAAGGGTCGTTACCACCAGGTCCATTGACCTGGCCAGGGTCATCACGCCGACACTGTCGAGAACCGCCTTGGCCACCACCACGAGCATCGTCACGTAGGTCGGCAAGACCGTCATCTCCACCATCAGCACCGTAGCCTCGAGGTGGGGCCAGCTCGGGAACAGAAAACCACAACCCATCTCCTGGTGCCCATCGGATTGTCGATGTCCGCGGTCCACTGCCACATGCATCCTTAGGAGGCCCTCGATGCAGTTGAGGACGTTCAGCAGCACGTTCCGATTGGTCGCGCTGATGGCAGGGCCCGCAGGATCCATGACGATCTTGACCTTGGACCTTCCCTGCAGTGAGGCCAAACCGAACGTGATGTGGGTGCAAACGCCTTGCAGGATGTGCCTCCGAACCCAATGGAGTCACCCCGCCATCACCATCGCCGCGAGGTGAGGGGGCGATGGGAGCGGGTGTTCCTGGTAACCTGCATGGGCAGGCAGGTGCCTGAGCCAAAGCAGCTAGGAGGAGAAGAAGGAGGAGGATGAGGAGGAGTAGGAGGAGGAGGAGAGAGGCAAAGAGTCTAGGGGATAGAAGAAGGAGGCACGGGTGAGGTGGGGAAGGGGGAGCTAGAGGAGGCAGGAGGAAGTAGACGGGAAGGAAGTAAAGGAGGCTGGCGAGGAAGAGAAACGAGGGGAACGTAAAGCAGAGGGGAGAAAAAGCTGATGGAGAGAGGGAAGCAGGATGAGGCGGGGTGCACATCACAGGCAGCGCAAGGATTGATGGAGACGGCGAGGGCGTCGTAGAGGAGGAGGAGGAGGAGGAGCAGGGCAGGAGGAGAAACATTGAGCAGCATGCGGAAGAAGAGAGCAACGCTGACGACGCCAGCGGTGGCGGAGAGGGCGAGCACGACGATGACGATCATCACGAGCACGAAGACAACGAACCCGACGACGATGACGAAGACGAGGACGACGACGATAACGACGACGACGACGAGGACGAGGACGACGAGGACGACGACGACGACGAGGACGACGACGACGACGACGACCAGCACGAAGAGCACGACGACGGCGTGCGAAGTCCTGGGCCAGCTGCTCCAGCTCCCGCACCCGCCAAGACGCCTCCGGTCCGAGCAAGCCCGCGGCCTGGGGGCGCCCCCCGCACTCGTGGCTCGACCAAGACGCTGTTGTTCATTGTCGTTGTGTTCCCAACCATCCTGTGGTGTCGGGTCCTCGTCTTGAAGGGACAGCGCCCCGCGCCTCCTCTCCTCTCCTGTCCTCTCCTTTCCTCTCCTCTCCTCTTCTCTCCTCTCCTCTCCTCCCTCTGCTCATCCTCCTATTCCTCCTCCCCCTCCTCCTCCTCCTCCTCCTCCTCCTCCTCCTCCTCCTCCTCCTCCTCCTCCTCCTCCTCCTCTTTCGCCTCCCCCATCATGCAACATCCCGACCTCCCTTCCATGTTGGAACACCCCTCACACGTTTCGTGGGCCGATAGGGAGCTCCACCAAAGGCCCCAGTGGCGGAGTCCACATGCGTCCCCGCCACCGATTTCAGCACACCCCTCACATGTTTCGTAGCCACCTTTTTTCTCGGACGGCGCGAAGCAGCCACCCTCCCGTGGCAAACGACCCAACGGATCGCAAGCCCACAGCGGAGCACTCCTCGCGGCGAGAGGTCGGGCAAGACGAGACGACTATTAGCCAGAACAAAAACGTGGCCGCCAGCGCCACTTAGTCAGGCACGAACCATCTTGGCCCTCGTCTGACATGTTCCAACGCGCTGGCAACTGCCGTGTAGCGCCGAGTGAGCACTCGGAGCCGTGTTTCAAGAATCTGTTCCACATCCGCCGAACTTTGGAGGCGAACAACGCGAAAAGTGCGCAGGAACGCATCACACATGAGAGCACACAGCAACGAAGCATCAGGAAAGAGGGGGTAGAGAAGAAACACGGTTGAAACCCACGGGATCATCACTGGATCAATCGGGAAAAGTTAACGATCCATTTGACACACAGCTCGCGGAAGTGAGGGCTGAACTTGTAATGACGAAGATCAGCATATTCTCTGGACGTATCGAACCCATACTCGCAGCAAGCCCCAAAGATACATCCACGAGGAGCAGAATGAAATCGAGATCTTGTGCAAACACTTCGAATACACATCCGATGAACACTCATATTAAGATGGGACGGACGGATACGGTGAGAGTGTCATCCAAAACGAATTCCGGCAACCAGTTACGCAACCGATAAAGCAGCCCATCGGAGACAGATGGACCAGGGAGAGGACGAGCATGGAACGAGCATAAAGTTTACGCTGGAACACAGCTGGCTTAACCGTCGCAAGCTCTACGGTGCTCTGCGTCAATTGAATGGTCTGGAATAGATCTGGCAGAAAAGACTGTTTCTTTCACTGTTGGGGATCCCCTCTTGTGTTGTGCCACACCGCTTCCACCAGGGTATTGTCGAGCGGGGCCTCGCGGGCCCACCAGCGGGGCGGCTGAGCCCCATTGAACTCACCGCCCCGTGTTGCCTCTCGCCAGCGCCGCCAGCACCACGCGGCCGAGTTTTTCCCAGGGCGAGGCCAGGCCGAACGAGGCCTATGGTCCCAGGACTCCTCCGCGGAACACCAGGGCCCCTCGAAACGGCCGCCAGCGGCCACCAGGAAAACCCCGGGCGCAACGATGAGGCAAGACGAGGCCCAGAGGACCCAAGAGCTCTTCCCTCTCGAAAGGGTGGCCCGAGGGTGGGAGACAAAAAGCCTGCGGCGAGGCGGCATCGCGGCGCATGCACAGGAGAGAGGGGCCCCACAGGACGAAACAATCAACATGTAATACATGGGTTTCTGTTTCTTTCACTGTTGGGGATCCCCTCTTGTTTCGTGCCACACCGCCTCCACCAGGGCATTGTCGAGCGGGGCCTCGCGGGCCCGCCAGCGGGGCGGCTGAGCCCCATTGAACTCACCGCCCCGCGTTGCCTCTCGCCAGCGCCGCCAGCACCGCGCGGCCGAGTTTTTCCCAGGGCGAGGCCAGGCCGAACGAGGCCTATGGTCCCAGGACTCCTCCGCGGAACACCAGGGCCCCTCGAAACGGCCGCCAGCGGCCACCAGGAAAACCCCGGGCGCAACGATGAGGCAAGACGAGGCCGAGAGGACCCAAGAGCTCTTCCACGTCTCCCTACCTGGTTCACCGCCTTGAAATCACCGCAGGGGGGGAGGCCACATTGTAGGCCAGCAGGCTCCCAAGAAAACCCTATCGATCGAGGGTCGACTGCAAAACGCGCAATTCCGAGAGAGCCTGCTGGCCTTCTGTAAGATATATGCAAGCCGTCGCCGTGTCCTGCCAACGTCTTCTCTCTAGAGTGGCAGGCATGTTACGGGGCGACGGAAGAACGATGTGGCCCCCCCTCTTGTTAAACTGTATGGCTTGAATTGAAACTGCTGGCAATTGATGGCAGCACGCAGCTGCTCGAAAACACGTCTGAAATCACCAATCGAAGAGGACAGGGTCAGCTGGTCTGACGAATCATGTTGCAACAAGTAGGATATCAGCTGTGTCACCGAGGTAACCTCAATCACGACTGACTCCTGTCGATGAAACTGCAGCCCACTTTTTGCGATTTGCAACACTACAACGAGTCTGGCGTGAGCCTCGTCGATGGCAACCTGCCAGCGTCTCAAGGTCAGCGTCTCGGTGGTCCGCGAGAAGGCCGCAAACCCGAGTGCCAGCAGCGCCGCGACGTCGTTGCGGCCCCAGCCGCGCGCGGTGGCAGCCATCGCCGTCAACACGATGTCGGGCACCGGAAGCACGCGCTGCGGCAGCTCCAGTCTCTGCCAAGCACGAAGCAGCTTCCACGAAGCTGGTAGGATGCGCTCCTTACGCAGGAAGTTCCACGTCCAGCGCGCCACACTGACTGGTCGCCTGGGCCGCAGGTCAGGCCGCATCGCCTCGAATGTGTCGAGCCTGATATCGCTGCTTCCGGCCTCCGCTCTGCGGGCCAGCTCCTCCACGATGATGACGCCGGGGTTCAGCGCGGCATCCTCGCTCTCGAGGTCGTGCTGGCGCACCAAGACACCTTCGTCGCAATCGACCTGGTCCGTGCTGACGGTGGCATCGGCGACGGTGGCACCACCTCCAGTCTCACGCATCTGCCTGACGGAGTGGATCTTGGACAGGTAGTCTGCTGCAGTTGGCGTCCTGAAAAAGGGCGCGAAGCGGTAGTCGAACTCGCGCCAACGTTCGAGTTCATGACCTGCACATCTGTCGAGACCTGTAGGGAACCGACCTGGAGCACGACGAAGAACATATCGCAGAAAGGTGGGCAGGCGGCAGCCCCTCTGGATGTCATCCTGCCACTGGAGCTCAGCGGCCAGCCAATGTTCAACTGGTCCAGGCCCATCAGGGATCACGACGTGCTTCACCGAGTCCATGAAGTACGTCTCGCCCTGCTACGGCGCCAACAGCTTCTCCTTCATCCAACACAGACGGCCACGCTGACAGCGCGTGACATCACCTGCTGAGATAAGCACAGGTTCGCATCCCAAGGATTGTGACATCAACTGTCGCGGTTCCGAATCCATCGAGGCCACGTTCTCAGCCTAGGAGAAGACCGTGCAGAAATCACCCAGCGTCTCGCGTAGCAAGGACACATTGCGGTTTATCTCGTAAAACAAGCGTGAACGCTTCCCTTAAGACCAGCACGCTTAACATTGATGCGGGCCAGGTCGCTGCAAGAGCTATTGGCCACCACCAATATCCACTTCACACACGGAACTCGTTCACGGATGGCCACCCCCTCGGCGACCCCAAAGGATCAAACGTCGCCGATTCCAGCACGTCTGGCCACGCATACTTGGTCACCCGCTTCGCCTCGGCGTCGATCTCGGCGGATAAGAACAGCGCGGGAGTGAGCCCTAGAAGGTCCAGGGCGCGGCGAGCCCCACCGATGCCGTCGAACAAGGACAGGAGCACCACCTCGTCGCGGAAGTCAGTCACCAGCCTTCTGCTGGCCGCTCTCGCAGCGGCCACTCCATCAGGTCGAAGGCGAACAGCTCGACACACGGCGCCACGCTGCATGCTGGCATCCGAGACCGCCACCAACCCGCTGATCGGCACCCGCAGGTCGCAGCGAAGCAAAGGGAGCAACGTCAAGGCCGACACCAGCTCCTCGCGTACTCTACGTGGCAGCTTCGCATCACCACGCATCGTCACCAAGAATCGCCACAGGTGAGTGACGCACATCATCGCCTCGCGCCTCAACAAAATGCACCGAACTCAGCGGCCCGCCAGGATCTGCATCCACTTCTGAGTCACTGTGGGCCGTTGCAAGGTCGCCAGGGTGAGGGAGATCAGCCGTCTCACGAACTCTGCGGGCGCCCGATGGTGCCCCGATCCCCATCGATCGCCTCCCTGAGGGACTGCGTCGTTGTCTCGTGGATGACGGCCTTGTTCTCGCTCCTCGGCACGCTGAAGTACTCATACCCCCGACGGGCTAAATCGACCGCCTCGCTGATTCCCGCCCCCTGAAGGGCCTTGGCGCGCCACCAGTTGGTGATCTCCGGCACTTCCAAGTTAACGATGTACACCTGCCAGGCCCTCCAGGGGGATGGCGCGTTGAAGCGCTCCAACCACTTCGCGATCAGGACATCGCCGTGGCAGAGCTGGTGCTCCTTGCAGTGACAGAGTAGCCGAGCGCCACTCAGTGAAGATAAGTCGGCCAGAAGGTCGGGCGACTTCTCCAGGTGCTCTGCGAGCAGCTCGATGGCCTGGTTCTTGTCCAGACCGCCCCGAATGCGGAACGGGTGGCCCCACTTCGACGGAGCTAGCTGCAGTGAGCTGGAGCCGCGCCCGATATAGATCATCCACCCGTCGTCATCGCAAGTGTGCCCGACCTCGCCGCGGACGGGAGCCACTCCTGCATTGCTCAGGCCACCTCTGCGAGCAGGAGGAATACGAGCGTCCCTGCGCAACTCCTCCGACGCTGGAAGTTGCCGTAGCTCAGGATGTCGAGCTCGCAGAAGACGACGATGAATGTGCTGAATCACCCTTGTGGCCGATATCCATCCCATGGGCATGACAACGGCGGCCAGGCATATCATGCCCTTGCCTGGGGGGCCAGCGATGCATCTCCTCACGGGCTTTGAGATGGCCATGTACTTCAGCCACACATCGCGGAGGCTGTACACGTAGAGGTAGCACGTCAGATCCTCTGCGCTCCAGAGCATCACCTCCCCGGACCTGAGGATCACGCTCTTCCACTTGTCGCTGTGGGGAAGCATCGGCATGTCGCCCTCTACGATGTACTCGTACTCTATCGTCTCGAGGGTCCCCTTCTCGAGCAGGTCGCCAGTGATGAGCCCCCACTCCTCGTTCGAGGCCCAGACCTTCGGAGCGGGAGACAGGCTGCCAAGCTCTGACTCGTCCTTCGGGAACAGACCTGGATCGGAAGGGGCAGCTCTGATCCAGCCCTCTGTCGCATCGACGGCCCGCACGGCAGCGCACGCCTCTCGAGGAGGCAGCACTTCGAGTAGAAGATCATAGTCCAGGGGCTCGGCAGGGAACACCACCTCGCCGTCGTAGGAGGTGGCGGCGGAAGTAAGCTCTGCGCCCCAATCGATGTCAGGGATCAGGCCAGCGCATTGCTCACGAAGGACCCTGACCTCATAGGGAAGATTATTGAGGGCTTTGCGCTGGGTGCCGTTCGGAGGGCCGTGAGGTGCATCGACCCAACTGCGAGGGTAGTGAAAGTTGAGACCAGACACGGTACAATGCAGCCAGTCTAACTCCTCGGACTTCGCAACTGCCAGCTCTTGACTGTCCTCACGAAGGCCTCCGCGACGCTGAGGAGCAGCCTGACCATGAAACACGATCGGGAGCGCGAGTAGATCACGACGTTCTCGCCGACCGTTCGGTGATGGAAGCGGATCTCCACACACTGCATCAAGGTCGGAAATCATCGAAGCCATCGAGGGAGTACGTAAAGAAGCCGGGTATGAATCATCATCGCGCTCGGCACTAACGTCAGCTTTACCAAATGACTGATTGACTGAACCACCAGTGGATGTACGTAAAGAAGCCAAATGTGAAGAATTGCCTGTCTCGCCGTGGGCTGCACCAGAGGCAAGCCCAGCACCACCAGAAGCGGTAGCCAACGTAGGCGAAGGTGGCGTCGAACGATGTAATGCGGACTTACGTTCAGCGTCAGGGTGTAGCGCAGCAAGTAGCCGAGACAGCAGGATGGCGCCGAGGTTCTCAACGGGCGAACCAGGCAGCACACCCGACAAGGAAAAATAATTGTCGGAGACGTTCTTTGCGTCACAATCGACAGTGTGCTCCGCGTCATGCAATGAGCCCGAGTCAAAACTGGATGACCTCTGGGAGAAGATCTCCGACTCCTGATCATCGGGTGGAATGTCATTCTTCTCAGACTCAGACGGAACTACTATCAGGTCTGTGGGGGCCAGGCGCGCTGCTTGCCTTTGCCCTTGCCCTTCGGCTTGCCCGTGGAGCCGGGCCCCTGCCACCTGTCTGACTTGCTGCCGCCCTTTCCCTTCTTGGACTTCGGCTTGCCCGAGCCCTTGGTCTTCGCTTTCTCGCCCTTGCACTGAGGTGAAGGTGATCCTGGGCGGCTCCTCGGCGCGGGTGATCGCTGCCGCCCGCCTCGCTCGACCTGATCGGCGAGCTGCGCGCGCCTCACTGGCGACGTTGGGCGCGCCTCCCCTCCAGTAGGTGGGCGCGACATCGGTCGACGGTCGGGGCCAGGGCTGACGGCGCCGCGCGCGGTGGCGGCCGGTGACCCTGGGGCGCGAGGCGCGAGAGGCTGCGAGGCTGCAGGGCTGCCCGACCGCTGCGTATGCTCTCCTCCGTGAACTGCTGGCGCTGCGGCCTGCTTCTTCGCGGCGGCAGCCTGCCTCCGCTCCTTCCGCCACCGCGCCTTTCTCGACGCCTTCGCGCGCTCCGCCATGCTGCTGGGCTCGTTGGCACTCGACTTCGCCACGCTCTCGGCCAGGCCAAGCATTCTCTTGTGCTTGCTCACGGCGTCGTGCACTTCCTCCTGGCGAGCCAAGCCCACACCCAGGTCGCCGCACAGCTCGAGATGCTGAGCTACCTGCCAGTGGCCGTCCTTGGTCACCTGCTCGATCGCCTTCAGCCTCTGCATCAAGAAGTTGCCCAGATGATCCAACTCTCCTCTGAGGAGTGCGTCGAGGCACGCGCCGATGGTCCGCATCGCGCGCACATTTCTCACCCCCATATCGCTCTGCGGGTGGTGACCATGCCAGACGCTCGTGATGTACTGCACCACCGTCGCTGCCAGTTCGTCCAGGCCCTTCTCGGTGTCCGCCCCACCACGCCGTGCAAGATAGCGCTTGATCTGATCCATACCGCTCGACATGAGAGCTCCTGGAGCGGCCTGGGCAAGAGGAGCTATCCTGCGGCCTGGGTCGACGTGGGGGGCGCCGTCAAAAACTGAGCCCTCGGAGCTGCTGTCATCACCGAGCCGCCGTCCCCGCCTCTTCTCACGACGACCAACACGACGACCGCCAAGAGCCAGCTCAGCGCGCTCAGCAAGGACCTCACCTATCCCTCGCTTGCGCTGCAGTCGCAGGCGCAACTCTGCCACTTTCCTCTTCAGCTCCTCGGGGGTGGGCTCCGCGCCAGCCATGGTACTTCCAGCAGCAGCTCAAGGCGCGCGGGCACCTCCGACAGGTTCGCCAAGGACGCCAACGGCTGCGGGCCCCCCAGCTGCTCCGCGACCTCCCAGCAGCGCCTGAGCCCACGGCCCAGTCACTCCCTCGGGGCTCCGCATGCGGTAGGTCTCCGCGTGCAACACCGAGCGCTGAGGCCACTGCACCAGCCCTGAGCACACGCTAGCCTGCTGAGTACAGAGGTGCAGCACCACGCCACCGAGGTGATTGAAGCTCCCCGACAGCACCGGCCACGAGGCAGCGCTGCTGCACCGCAGGAACGACGCCTCCACGAAGACACCCATGCCACCACCAGGCCACGCACTCTGGATGTTGAACAGCGCCGTACCAACTGCGTTGCCGAAGCTGTCCAGGGTCACGCACTCCAGCAAGCCTCCAGGTGACAACCCGAGCCGCTGGTAGGCCATCGGTGATGATGGGCCGTGCACCCAGGGCCCTGCACCTCCAGGAGGCGCCGCCAGATCGAAACCACAGCCCCCAGGAACTCCGACTCCACCTCCAGCAGCCGGCACCCAGCCCAGCAGCTCACCACCACCTGGGGCTGCTCCTGCGCCTGCGGGCGCACCTCCAGCTGCACCGCCGAGAACGCCGCCAGCAGCAGGGGCCCAAGCGCCAGCGCCGCCGTGGCCTCCGACTCCGAGAGCTCCACCTCCTAGTCCAGGAACAGCTCCAGCGGGAGGTCCTGCTACGCCTCCAGCTCCATCGACCACAGCAGCCGCACCATCCGCCAGAGGGGGAGACACGAGCCCGCCTCGTGGGCCTCCTCCACAGGTAGCTCCAGCCGCCCCAGGCGGACCTCCGCCTCCAGCCGCCGCAACGCCTGCAGCCGCTCCGACTCCCGCGGGCGGTCCGCCGCAGCCACCAGCCAGTACTCCAGGAGCACCTCCAGCCAGCACGCCCGCGCCAGCAGCTCCTCCACCTGGTGGGCCTTCGGCGACAGGGGCTGCAGCGCCTCCTCCGGCGACTCCGCTCGCGGCGGCTGCGGCGGCTGCGCCGCGTCCACCTCGGCGGGGCCTAGCCGCGACGCCTCCGCGACCTCGAGCGCCTTCAGCAGCGGCGGCCGCGCGCGCTCGCCTGCTCCCAGCAGCCCCGCGCGCAGCAGCTGCGCGACCTCCGCGGGCTCTGGGGTCTGCCGCCGCAGCCGCGCATGCCGCCGCGCGGGCGCGCTCGGCCTTGGCCTCGCGCAGCTGGGCCGCCTCCGCGGCCACCATCTCGACGTGGCGCTGGCGCTGGGCGTCGGCGTAGGTGGCTAACTCCCGAGCTTCATGCGCCTGCGCCCGCGCCTGCCCCTCGGCGTCCAGACTCTCCAGGTTCGCCAAAGCTGCCCGGATCCGCTCGGCCTTGGACTCCTTGGACTGGCCTTCCACGCTCGAGTTCGATGGACTCGAGAGCAAGCTCGGCGGGGAACCGGGATCCGTGAGGACAGGGACCTCGAGTGGGGAGGACACGTGCGTCACCTCGCCGGGGCTCATGGGCCAACTCATGGACCACGACGAACTCGTCAACAGCTCCTCAGTCTGATCTGGCACGTGCACTGGGCTTGGCATCGGCAACAGCTCCCGCACGTGCGCTGGGCTTGGACAACGGCTCCCGCGCGCGTGCTGGGCTCGGGCTGCGCGTCGGGCTGAACGTCGGGCTGCGCGTCGGGCCGTCGCCGCCAGGGTCGCCGCGGTCGGCCTGAGCGACGTCGGGCTGCACGGCGTCGGGCTGCGCGTCGGGCGCGGCCAGGCCGAGACTCGGCGGGCGGCCGCGGTTGCCTCCGCGGCCTCCTGGGGGCGCGGGCAGCGCGGCAGCTGCGCCCGCGGGCAGCGCAGCGAAGCCGCCAGCGGCGCCGCTGGCGGCGGCCGCCGCCATCACATGGCCGAGCCGCCGCGCCTGCCGCAGGCGGCGCCCCTGCACCTGAGGTCACCCCCTGACCTCAGGCTTTCAAGACAAAAAGCCTGCGGCGAGGCGGCATCGCGGCGCATGCACAGGAGAGATGGGGCCCCACAGGACGAAACAATCAACACGTAATACATGGGTTTCTTCTGATTCCCGCCCTGCGAATCAACCGCTCGAGCGAAACAATTTGCGCTGCTGCACGGCCCAACAGTCCGCGGCACCAGGACACGTCATGGCAAAACGGACAGGGCAAGCTGCGGAGTGAGCAACGATATTGGGCGACTCAATCGGGAATCTCAACTGGGCTACAGAAACAGACATTAAGAAAACGCATTGCACGGACCACAAGTTAATGTTTCGAGCATGTGCTCGTGCGAATTCGCAACGACGGGGGTGAGCTGCTCTATCTGCATCACGGAATGCAGCACGCTGAGGCACATAACCTCGAACGTAACACAATTGGTAGCACTAACTGGCGAGAGAGCTCGAAGCTGCCAGCACCGAGCAACGAACTGAGCGACTGGTGGAACCCACGCCTTGCCAGCAGCAGTGGGGTCAATGTACAGCCCAAGATACTTCGAGTCAGTGCGCACTTGGCCAGCTACAACCCTCCCTGCTCCTGCCTTAGATGCTGCTGATACCGCCCATCCCCATCCCCCCACAAAGAAGCAAGCCGCACTTGTTAAAACTGAAGGCCAATCCAATCGCCCCATCTAGGCGCGGAAGAAGACGCCATGCAGCACGCAACGCTTGAAAGACATCCACCACCCCAAAGAGACAGTCGTCGGCACACGCAAGACAAAAAGAGAGTTGCCGTGGAAGTGAGTACGTCGTCCAGCGTAGCACTATTGCTAGCGCAGAGCATGCGATATAAATTCGGAATACATTCAGGGACGCCCATCGCAGACAGCACAGCGCGAAGCCACACATGGAGGCGAGAGGGAAAGGCAGCAGAAAAATCAGTTGAGGGGATAGCAGCTGAACCATGGCCAAGCAAGTGCTGTTGCAGCCCCCCATCCTTCCGCCTGCATCACATGAACGAACATCTGCCGATGATTGACACATTTGTGCAGCGGGCCAACAATGCCCCGAGAAACCTGGTTAATCGGCATACCACGCAGCCTGGCGCAACTTGGCATCTGTGCTGGCCATAGACAGCGGGCGCGTGTACGAGCAATCCCGAACAATGTTCCCCGCCTATATCCACATCCCGCTCCCCTTTCGGTAAGAAGACCATCAGCAACTCCCCCACATCAGGCGGCAACGAGCCAATGCCACCACGCACCGCGGCGCGGTAAAGGCTGTGAAAGTGCCGTGTCACTCCTGGCACGCCAGCATATGTACGGCATCCCAT